CAGGATGGTGGCAGCCAGTGCTTCTGGCAGCTCAATTTGATTGAAAGAGCAGGTTCAGGAGTTGAAGCTCTGACTGCTCCCTCCTCCAAGCTGGACAGTGTGTTGAAAGCTCCACACAAACCAGCTGCAGCAGAACCTAAAGCAGCCGCCCTCTTTGCTAGGACACTCAGCAACATCTGCAGGCTGGCTGCACATCCTGCCTCATAGAATCAGAGAATCTCCTGGTTGGAAAAGACCTCTGAGATCATTGAGTCCAACCGTACCTGCCCACTACTGAACCAGATCTCTGAGCACCCCATCTACCCGTCTTCTAAACACCTCCAAGGATGGGGACTCAACCGCCCCCCTGGGCAGCCCACAGCTCAGAGCTTTTCTCCTCTCAGGAAGCTGCTGAAATCCACGCTGGTGCTGATGCCGCTTTTTGGAGTCCATTATGTGGTGTTCATGGCCATGCCCTACACCGAAGTCTCTGGGGTCCTGTGGCAGATCCAGATGCATTACGAGATGCTCTTTAACTCCTCTCAGGTACGTCAACACGGGGCTGCTGGTCCCGCTCCATCTGAGCGATGCTCACCTGGGGAGGGTGGAAAGCGCGTGTACAGCATCCCAGCTCAGGACTCAAACTCTGCTCTGTCTCTTTTGACAGGGTTTCTTTGTGGCTTTTATCTACTGCTTTTGTAACGGGGAGGTAAGTTAGAAGTGAGAGCAGCTGAGCTCTCTGTTCCTTACGAGGAGAGGCTGAGAGAGCTGGGACTGTTCAGCCTGGAGAAGAGCAGCCTGAGAGGGGATCTGATCAAAACCGTAAACACACTTTCAAGCCATAGTTCAAGCACACATCAGATCACTAACGCAGTTAAAATTTCCTTGATACTTACCACATGTAAAAAAAACCCACACAACTAGTGAGAAGACAGTATCTCAAATTAAACACTCCAGGCACATCAACACCGTGTGACAAGTTTTACAACATATAAATTTCATAATACATATTATAAGGAATAAGAACAGCTATTTTAGTCATTCCCATGCAACCTGCTGTAGGGAACCTGCTTTGGCAGACGGGCTGGACTAGATGATCTCCTGAGGTCCCTTCCAACCCCACCATTCTGTGATCCTGTGATTCCAGCCCCTTTGGGGTCGGGGAAGTTAACCTACAGCCCCCAGGCTGGGATAACTGGAGGAAAAAATTCAGATCCATCCCTCTCAGTAGGATTTGGAAGGGAAGTGAAAGCACCGCGAGTGAAAACCATGGGGGATGGCTGCCTGTTTTGCTGGCACTGGGACTCATCTCTGATCTCTCCCTCAGGTGCAGGCAGAGATTAAGAAAGCCCATTTTCGGAGAAGCCTGGCGCTGGATTTCAAGCAGAAGGCGCGTGCCACCAGCGTGGCGGGGAGCTGCTGCTATGGCGGGCTGGGGTCCCACGCCACCACGAGCTTCAGCATGAGCCTGGCGGGGCGAGGGGCCGGGAGCACCCAGCAGCGGGGGCTGCTGCTCCTTGCCCGTGCCAGCCTGCCGGGCTACATCCCCAGCTCCTTTGTCTCAGGTAACTTCTTGCCCTGTCTGACCCAGGAGATGAACCAGAAACCATGTGGGGAAACCAAAGTGGATTTAATGGACCTGACTCAGCGTCAGCCCAAGCTAAACAAAGAGCTGGAGACGATGCTATGAAGTGAGCAGTGTCTCTGCCATCGGGCCATCCAGCTCTGCCTGGAAAGATGCTGATCTCGTGCTTTGGGCTCCTTTAACGCTTGCATGGAGAGCCGGGGTAGGGGACAGCAGCTGGAACATCACAGTTTCCTTTCCCTCACCACCAGTGTGCAAAGGGACCACGTGCTCTCGCTGCTTCTACCTACCCGGCCTAAAAATGAGCAGCCAGTTCCAAACCTCATTTCCTTCCATGTGCAAGTGATCGATGTGAGCGATGTCTGTGCATGCAAAGCCTTGAATCATCACCAGGAAACAATCCTCCAGGCTCAGTCTTACCTCATCAGTCTGGAAGGTGACTTCAGCTCCAGTGTGTATAAAGCTGATTCAATGAGCCCGTAGTCCTGAAGTCTGATTCCTCTATTTAACACCAATTCCTGGGTTGTACAGCCCGGGGCTGGCAGGGAAGAGCGTTTGTTCACTGAGCTGTTCTGAAGCTCACCCTGCCCTGACTTACATCCTCACGCAGCTCACAGATACCGTGAAGCCCAGCAAACAGGGAGCCTGAGGCACTGGGATACGATGGGCGCAGGGAGACGGAGCTTTACAGCCTGGGAAGGGCACAGCGAGCACCTGGGTCCCCCCAGGCTTTACGGCGTGGTCATCCATAAACACACAAGTCACTGCATGCAAGAGCCCTGGCCCTGTCATCTCTTTGCAGGCTAAAAAGTGAATAAAGAGAGAGTCTGAATGGCTTGTTTCCATCCTTGGACTCCATGAGGGACGCAGTGGTGTTACACACAGCGAGGGTGTGAAGGGATGGAAACCCAGCCGGGTTCAGAGCCAGCCTGGTCTGCGCTCGCTGTCGGGGGCAAGGCAGCCCCGACCTCCCCCTGCCCACTCTGCTACACCTGCACTGCCTGGGAAAGCTCATCACCCTGATGGGAAAAGATATTCCTGAGGAGCCCAGACAGTTCAGCCACACCACAGAGGGGAGAGTTACAACGTCGTTAGGAGAGGAGGTACATCTGCCAGTTAAAATTAAATACCTGCTTGGTGGTAGCATGGAGAATTTTTTTTCCTACCTGCTCTAATGAGACCCAGTCCCTCAAGGCAGTAATTTCATGATAAAGACAGTGACAGTGAACATGTAACATTCTGTGCATTCCCAGATCTTCTAGTGAAAGGTAAGATACAAAGGGAGGACAAGGATTAGAAAGCACTGGAGGGACAGTCAGCCAGGAGGTGCATCAGGGAAGGGATGAGCTCCAGGATTCCATATTCTTTAAATGATCCAGAAGATGGTGCAGAGTCAGGTACAGCCACACCCCCGCCCACCCAAGAGAGCAAGCGCTGCACAGGATCCCAGAATTGCCCAGGTTGGAAAAGCCCTTTAAGCTCATCGAGTCCAATCATGAACCCAACACTGACCAGTCCCCAACTAACCCATGTCCCTCAGCACTATGTCTACACGACTCTTCAATCCCTCCAGGGATGGGGACTCCACCACTGCCCTGGGCAACCCCTTCCAATGCCTCAGAACCCTTTCAGCAAAGAAATTCTTCCTCACATCCAATCTCAACTGCCCTGGCCACAACTGGAGGCCATTTCCTCTTGTCCTGTCACTTGTTCCTTGGTTGAACTTGGTACCACGTCAAAGAGGCACTGCTGGGTGGTGGCTGTGTTTGCCCCACTCTGGGGGACAAGAGGCAGAGGGGGGGACTGATGTGCAGGTACAGAATTTGAGGATTGCACTTTACAAACAAACCTGAGCTTCCTGTAATGGATTTGCTCAGCTGTGAGTTGTGCTCTGGTCTCTCTAGAAGAAAACGGCACAGCCTGGCACTTCAAGGAGAGAGATTTTCCTTCAGGGTAGATGACACGCTGCTCACACTGCTGCCTTGTTCTGCCGAGAAGGAATCGACCCTCTTATGTATCTAACATGGAGCTGTGAACTGACATTTATAGCTCCCTGTCAGTGATCAATATTTACTCACTCAAGTCTCAAGAGGCTCCTGGTAGCTGAGAGAGGGGTGAGGAATTTCAATAATCCTATCAAAGAACAGAGGGATGCGTTAAAGAGAAGGGGAGAAACCCAAGCACATGCCACATACAGGGCCAGTTCCCAGTGGCAGCGAGCTCAGCCCCAGGAAGGGAGGGAGCAGATGGCAGCTTCAGACTATGAGGCTTTTATTTATTTTTTTTTTAAACTTAATTTTGAAACTCAAATCTTTAACGGTGCAGAGTGATAAACCTGAAGTGTGATAAGGGAAGGGAAATGCAACAGCTTCTAAACTCCTGCCACATCCATCCTGGAAGATATTTGTGTTAATACTAAATAGACAGAGCTCCAAGCACTGCAATGAGGTTTCTGCCCAGACTGTGATAAGAGAATTCAAGTGGAAGCTATTTAAAAAAACCCCCAAAACCCAACAGATTAAAGCTAGTTAGTGAGAGAGCCCAAATAATGAAGTTGGTGTCTTAACTGAACCACTAGACATAAAGTCAGATCACAAGACTGTTACCAAGTTCTTTTTCCAGCTCTACCAATGACCCCAGGAAAGGCTGGGATGAGCAACACGTCCTGGGCTGCATCCTTCCCACTTGTGAAATTGAGAAAAATCTGTTCCCCAGGAAGCTTTGGAGCTAAACCAGGGTTTGCAAAACAGTTTTGAGGTGAAAGATACTGAGGAAAAACACAGGAAATCTTTTTATCAACTACAATCCACAACTTCTGGTGAAAGAAAGGGACACAGTCACATCTGCAGGCAGTCAAACCTCCATCCAAATGCCAGAACAGCCAAAGGAAGAAGTGGAGAATAAAAAGCACATGCTAGGTGATTTTTGTCCCAGTAATAAAACATTTACTAGAGCAAGCAGAAATTAAATGCACAGCTGATAAAGAAAACATCACAATGTCACAAAAACCTGACAGTTTCTGATACTTCTTTCAGTAGAAACAAGACAGAGGTGGGTGCTGACATGTTTCAACAAAAGAGTTCTTCCTTACCTTTGCGGCGCCAAAAAAAAAAGAAAGTTAAAAACCAGAGAATACACACGACGAGTTAAAAACAGTCAAGCAAGATTTTACAGTTTTAACTACATGTGTCCAATATGGGGCGATTATTTCAGCTGTTCCACTTTATTGATCAATTTTCAGGTTCTCCCTAAAGGCCTCTGAGCAGCAGGTCCCTGAATTTTTGAACAAAGCCTCTTCATTTAGCTGCGCTTCACGGGGGGCACAGGCCTTTGGCTATTGTGTATCTATATATATATTTTTTTTTCCCTTTTTTGTTTTTACTTTGAAGAAAGCACACAGCCCTCTCATAACAGAGGGCGAGTAGGCACAGCAGAGAGACAAGCTTGCTATGCAGGCGTCCACCAAAATGAAGGTTATTAGGAAAGAAAAGGTTCTTTGAAAGAAAAAACAAATATCTGGGCAATGGGATTGGGATTGATGTACTACCAGGGAGTCCTGTCCTACACTCCACGTGAATTTGTGGTTAGCTGGGCTGGAGAAGGACCCCTTGAACAGCTTCATAAAAAAATAATAAAAAAGGAAAGAAAAATCAACTTGCTTCATCCCACCTTCAGCAACACAAAGTGATACATTTGTAGTTGATAGGGAGAGAGGTAAAGGGCAACCCAGAGACCAAATTATTTGGGGATAAGAAAATATAAAAAAAAAAGAGAGATCGGGGAAGAACTCGCCATACTGAACAAACTGCCGAAAGATTAATGTTCACCAGGTGGCTCCTGAGCATCTCTAGATGGACTGGTTTTTTTAAATGTGAACGCTGGTTAAGAAAAGACTACTTTATACTTCTACACAAACAGTTTCATAACGTTCCAAGGATGTGAAACAGCTTCTTTCTTGTCAAGAAGATCTGTTTAAATCCAGCAGAGAGTCACTTGAGCACTGAATGTTTCAAAGCAGAACCCAGGGAGCTTTATCAAAATTATTTCTCTTTGACTAAGCATTGTGTGTACACATCATTAGAATGAATCTGTCCGCAGATGTACCGGCCCAGACTTGCACAGGTAGTTTGCATGGTTTCCTTCTCCTCCCCCAGCCGCTCAACAACCAGTTACCAAAAACCCCCAAGAAATCCTCTGGAAAAAGACAACACTACCTGCAAGAGATTCCAGGCTGTGAAACACCAGCTTTTAACTGTCCCACCGACTCTTCTTACGTTTTGGGGGCTCTGGGACAGCAAAACCATCTGTTTTGTTGTCTCGGCTGTTGGCATCCTTCCTGTTCTCACCATTCCTGTTCTCGTTGTTCCTACCTTCGTTGCTATTCCTGTTATCAGCATTATTACGATTGCCACTGCCCACATCAGCAAAGTGCCGGCTCTCAGCGTGGCGATGGTTGTCGCCATGTCGGCTCTCTCCGTGGCGGTAAGCGTCAATGTGGCGACTGCCTCCTTCTCCGTGCCGTTGGACGTCGTTGTAGCGACCACCACCACCACCACCACCCTCTCCACGACGTGGGACCTCATTGTGGCGACTGTTCCGGTTGTCGTTGTATCGTTCTCTGATGATGCCACCACCACCACCACCGCCACCACCACCGCCAGCAGCAGCAACGTTGGCGCTGCTGCTGTTGCCTTCTCGACTGTTGGTGCTGGCATTGGTGTTGTTGAAGCCCTGTACTCCGACGCTTGGGAAGGTGGGAACGCTACTCAAATTCCCCGTGCTGGTGAAACCTGGAACACCCTTTGCTGCTGCGGTGGCTGCAATTGGGTTGTCTGGATTTGCAGTATTTTGCTGTGCTGAACTCGTTGGTACTGAGTTCAAACTCCCAGCACTGGTCCAACCACTAGCACCAGCAGCAGAGCTACCAGTCTTTTGATTATTTAAGCTTGCAGCAACAAAGTGGCTTTTATACTGGGACTGCCAGAAAGAGACAGAAAGGAAAAAAAAGTGTTTGCCTCTACACTGCACGGTAAAATGTGCATACACAAGCCTGTCTTGAATTCTGGGGAGCCCTTAGGAAAAAGAGTTCCTATAAAAAGTCAGTC